TCTTTCTGTCCCCTTCTGATGTCTGTCAGAAGCTTTCTCTACCTCTTTTATACTTTAATAAAATTTTATTACACAAGGTCTTCCTTTGGTGGCTTAGACAGTAAAGCGCCTGCTTATAATGCGGGATACCCGGGTTTGATCCCTGAGTTTGGAGGATCCCCTGGAGAAGGAAATGGCAAACCACTCCAGTACTCTTAGCTGGAAAATCCCATGGACGGAGGAGCGTGGTAGGCCACAGTACTTGGGGTCACAAAGAGTCGGACACGACTGAGCGACCTCATTTTCACTTTACTTTCACTCTACTACACAAAAGCTCTGAGCCATCAAGCCTCATCTGTGGCCCCAGATCAAATTCTCCTTTGGAGGCATCTTTCATGGTTTAGCAGCCTTTCAGAAGTTAACTACGTGATGAACAGTTAACTACGTAAAGCAGTTAACAACTTTATCCAGGACTTGAGCTGCCACAATTCTGAGAATTGACTTCAAAGACATGGGAACAGGTGCACCCCAGAACTGAAGATTAACTGTACCTGTAACAGCCAAGATAATGCCGGTCAGACCACTGATGACCAGTTGAACATGCCTGTTATAGATGACTGTGCTGTTTCTGCATGTAACCTCCCCCCACCCCACTCTGTCTGTAAAAGCTGTCACCTCCTGCTTGTTGGGTGGTGTGGGGGGGAAGTCGGCCTTTGGACAGATGTCCGCCACCTCCCCCGACCCGTTGCCAGCATCTGAAATAAAGCAAATTTTCTTTCCACCAATGTGGCCTGATTATTAGCTTTTGAGTGGTGAGCAGCCAGACCCCCAGATGCGGATCCCCTTTCAGGTGCTGCTTCTTCTTTCAGTAACACTTTCACCTGTCAGCTTTGATCTAATACTTTTTAGGATGGGAAAATGTCTTCGTTCGTAATTCATATTTAGAGGCTTAAGATGGAAATGAGAAGATGAAGTGTTTAAGCTGGCATGATGACACAGAAAAAAACAATATTAATGACAGCTCAGCAGGCGCCCTGACCATGGGCCAGGCAGTGTCCTAAGAGCTTCTTGTGTGTTGTTCCATTTTAATACAAGAGCCGGGATGAAGAAATAGTATCTGTTTATAGTAAATAAAACTTAAAGACTTCAGAGGTGACTCGTCCTCAGCCACAGTTAAAAGGTGACAAAGCTGAGATGCAGACTCAGGAACCCCAGCGTCCATGTCTCGACTGCTTTTGTGGCTGAGCCCACCCTGGTGAGGTTCTGCTCCAGGAGCAGTGACTGGACTGCAGATACGCCTCTTTCCTTTTGCCCCCTGCAGAAGCGGGTCCCCTTCAGGTGCTGTTTCTCCTGCTCCTCAGAGCCGCCTCAGTTGGATGCCCAGGAGTCACAGGGAGGATCCTGTTGGCTGCCCAAGGGAAGTCTTCTCCAGTGACCTTTTGCCTCTAATCCATGGTCTAAAACTTGTCTGCACTAGAATGGAATGAGCTCAGCAGCAGAGGTTGCTGTTAATAAAGTAACAGATTCTGAGGAGAGGACTGGGAAGGAAAACAAATGCAGTGTGAGGAGCAAGAGCAGAGTGAAGGGGAGTCAGGGGGTGAAAGCGTCCTCCTGCCCTGCCGGGGTCATCTCTCCCAAGCGCGTTTGTCTCTCCCTGTAAACCACCGTGTGGAGACAGTGCTGCCTCCGCTGAGGGCTGAAGATGCTCCGTGCAGGTTTCTTTGTGACAGTTTATATGACAGCTTGTCGGGGGCGTTGGGTATATGGCTGACCTCGGGTATGGAATGTTCTTGATGTGGATGGCAGCTCCGTGTGGAATCCTCCACTGCCTTCTACACGAGTAGGAGTTTCAGAGCTGCAGCCTGTAAGTCCCAGGAAGTACTAAACAGTTTGTGTATGACAGACCATCGTCCCAAAGAGATCTTGTCAGTCTCCGTATAACTTTTTAACCTGGGAACTGCTTTTGGAACTGCCACTGGAAGGAGGGCAGGGGAGGGGAGCGGCTGGGACTGCAGGCCGCCCGGGGCGATGCTGCTGCCTCCGGGCTCAGCCCACCTCGGGCCACTTCAGCAGAAAGGGGGACTGTCCTGCTGTGTGTTACTTAGGACGCTAGTTGAGCTCTGCTTTGATTTTCATTGCTCAGGTTTTTAAGGAGGAGAAGTACCTGAAGGACGCAGTGGAGTGCAGCGACGTGATCTGGCAGCGAGGCCTGCTGCGGAAGGGCTACGGGATCTGCCACGGGACCGCTGGGAACGGCTACTCCTTCCTTTCGCTTTACCACATCACGCAGGATAAAAAGTACCTCTACCGAGCTTGCAAGGTACGAGCACGTCTATCCAGACAGCTCTTGAGCCCTGCAGGGCACGCAAAGCCCAAGCAGCTCTCTGGTTTCAGACACGCTTCGCCCAGCTTGCAGTGTCTTCCGCGCAGCCGTGTCCCGGCTGGCCCCCTGATTCCCTCTGTGCCGTGGGACTGGGGAGTGGAAATGCACTCCGCCGTCCCACAGCCTGGCAAGAGTGCCTTCCTGTGCGTTTATTAGTCATGACTTTAGGACGTCCCTTCTTAAGCCTCAACTGGAAAAATACTCTCCGCCTCCTAAATTTGTCCCAAGAAAAATGAATCGTGATAATGGGCAGATCATCAGTAGGTGCCCCTGCTTAAAGTCCTCAGAACCCACGCCCCCCACACTGGAGGGCCCGTGTGCCTCTGCCATCGCCCGCCTCTTGTCTCGCCCCGTGCTCCACACTGCCGCCTCACCCCCGTGCTCCCCGTGGAGCACAGCGGGTCTGGGGCTCCCCTGAAATCTGCCTGGTGGAGAGGACCCCAGTGATGGAGCTGCTGGTCACCGCGGGGTGCTCCCCTTGCTCCTGGTGGGCCACGCCTCGACCATGAGCCGGGACAGTGCCTGGCCCCAAGTAGAGACTGACAGATACACATCGGGTGTTTGAAAATGAATGCACAAAGCAAGACCCAGTAAACATTTGCTATACACATTTCACAAAGTAGAGCTATGAAGACACTGGAGAAAAAGATGGGAAGAAAATACACTAAGATGTACAAGACCATGGGTAGATGGAGGCATTCGGGGTGGCTTGTTTTTTATATTTACTACTATTCCGAAGGCTTTTCTTAAAGCAGCTAGAGTAGAGCCGTGGTGCCCACACTCACAAAGGCTGTGTGCACGGGGTGTTGTGGGGGTCCTGGGGGCAGGTGACGGCCCAGGAGTGTCATGTAAACTGAGACCCAGAGGGGAGCTGGGAACTTCGCAGGGGTGGGCGATGGGAGCGGAGCTGCCCGCAGAGGGAGCTGGAGGCGTGAGCACCCCGGGGCCATAACGTCCCATTGGCCCGAGCAGAGACATGAGGGGCAGCTTAGGGTGACAGCAGTCACAGCGGCAGATGGGCAGGAAGCTGTGGGGGTTGGGGAAGACTTCACACGGACGGAGCACAGCTAGTTTTCTAAAGATGTAGAGCTTTTCAGGTGGGCCAGCAAAGTGTGGCTTGGAGAAGGGGTGTCTGTCCCTTAGGAGAGCGCCTGCAGAACCATGGAGGCAGGCCCAGCCAGGGCAGCCCGACACTCTAAGTGCCCAGTGTTGGGGGTGCAGGGTGAGGGATAAGGGCAGAGGCCAAAGAAAGCTAGTCCTCCCCCTGGTCAGTGGATCTCAACTTTGGGTACACGTTAGACTCACTGGGAGCTTGTGAGTGCTGAAAAGCTCTCACACTGAAGAGGGCCTGGACCCCAGCCCAGATCCGGTGACTCAGGAGCCCAAGCCTGTGGTCCCAGCGCCTGTGGGTCTCCCCGCCAGCCCCCTGAGTCCTCATCTGTAAGGAAGGGCTTCACGAGGGTTTGTGACTCACGTTCCGTCTTCTCTCTCGAAGGGTCTCCATGGCTGCAGTGGATGGATGAGGTAGAGGTAAACAATCTGGGTTTCTCCAAATTGTTGCTTAGTAATTAATGGTGGTCCAGTGGCTAAGAATCTGCCTTCGAGTTCAGGGGATGTGGCTTTGATCCCTGGTCAGGAAACTAAGATGCCATATCCCACACTCAGAGCAACTAAGCTGGCGTGCTGCACCTACTGAGCCAGTGTACTCTGGAGCCCGAGCACCCCAACTGTAGAGTTTGTGTACCCTAGTGCTGCCACTAAGACCCAGTGCAGCCAAACAACCAGCTCACTAAATATTCTTTAAAAAGTGGAAATGTAGAGTTACAAACCAGGGATACTGCCTATGATACGAAAGATACATTTAGAAACACTTAGGATGTTGAGACCACAGAATTGGGTGGATTTTTTTTTAATGTGGAGAAGACAGAAATGTATGAATATCTTCCTGATGTCTGACTAAGAAAACCAGATAGATAGTGCATCAAAAGAGCGAGAAGTGTGTGAGGGTTTGGAGGGTAGAAAGCAGCATGAGTTTTATTATGTTACAGAAATCCACTGAAGAAGTTTCAGAAGGAAGGGTCAGAGAGCTCAGAGAGGAGTTGCCGAGAAAGCTAAGGAATGTGTTTCGAGAGGAGTAGGGTGGGCAGTGGGAGGCCCCGGGGCTCAGTGGGCAGAGCGGGGAGAGGAGGGCACGCTGCACATTGAGCAACAGGGTCAGCATGCGGGGGCTTCCGTCTGCACAGAGAGCCTGCCAGGCCGGGAGGCAATGCCTGGAAGAGACAGAGGGCTGTGAGCTGTGTGCTTTCCACTGCAGTCTTCCCAACAACCTTCCTGGGTAAAGCCTCCCTCACAGATGAGGAAACAGGCCTGGACAGGTGACAGGACTTGCCAGGTCTCACCTCCTTAGAAGAGGCGGTGCTAAGTTCCCCCAGGCCCACACTGCTGGCCGCTCTGTTGCCTGGGCATCTGGCCTTTGATTCTTGATGAATTCACTACAGTGTCTTATTAGTTCCGTTTCCACCAAGTGAAACCCCACTCTTAAAAATAAATGCCTTTCTTCCTAGTTTGCCGAGTGGTGTCTAGATTATGGAGCACATGGCTGCCGAATTCCTGACAGACCCTATTCTCTCTTTGAAGGTAAGAGTGAGCGAAACTCCAGGTTCAAGGCTCTGGCTGCATGCGTTTGGTCCTCCTGGCTCTGTGCGCCATCGCAGTTGATCTTACTTAGTGATCGGTGCAAAGCTGGCAAATACCAGGAGCAAAGTCATTCCTTGCTGAAAACTATTCTGAGTCTCTTTACCTTGCCTATTTGTGCTCCTGTGAACTTCTTCCATGTATTTTTAGATCTTTTGTGAAGTATATACGCATAGACTATTTGCTGCTTTGTGATGGAAAAAATAAGTTTTTCCTCTGCATTTCACCATGCATATAGGATTGATCTGTTCCCAGCAACCATGGTTAGTTATTTAGATACAATTTAATTATTTAAGTCATATAAAGAAGCATAAATAATTAATATTACAATTTAATTATTTAAGTCATATAAAGAAGCATAAATAATTAATATTAGTAATTTAAAAGTATTAGTAAGTAAAACTATTAGTACTTGGAAAAATAATAAGAAAGTTCCGAAAAACAAGAGTGGTGAAAGAAACCAGCAGACACATTAAGAGTCTGCTGCAGGCACAATGCATAGAATATAATTCAGGAAAACCAAACAGAAGTCCTGCAGAGATGGAGATATTCTTCTAACATAAGTTGCAGAAACTAAGGGCGAAGGTTAAATGGGGTTGGGATAAATTGATGGTGATTTTTTAATTACTTTAGGGCTACATTTTATAGTAATTCCAAAGTAAATTCCAGAAGGAATAAATGAATATTTATAAAAAAATCAAATAATAGATGAGTGTTGAGTTTTGTCAAATACAAAGCTGATAAGATCATGTGATTTTTCTCTTCAACTTCCTAGCACTGTGAATCACATTGGTTCATTTTGAAGTATTAAGCCAGTCTTGCATGTCTGGAATAAAGCTTACTTGGCCGTGGTGTACGGTGCTTTTTATGTATTGCAGAATTGCATTTGCTAATGTTTTGTTGGTGGTTTTTGCGTCTGTAGTCATAAGGAATGTTTGCCTGTAGCCGTCCATTTGTGTACTGTCACTGTCTGCTTTGCTGTCTGGGCGATACTGGCCTACTAAATTGATGTTTTCTCTGTTTTCTGTAATAGACTATATATTAATTGGCAGAAGAATTCTGGTTTAAATGTTTGGTAACATTCTTCCTCAAAACCTTCCTAGCCTATAGATTTCTTTTTCAAGAGTCTTAAATTTATGAACTTAATCTGTTTAATAGTTTACCAGGCTGTAAGTTATCTATTTCATATTCAGTGAGTTTTGTTAGTTTGCATTTTTAAGATATTGCTCCATTTCACCTGTGGGGTCAAATTTATGTGCATAAAATTTTGGTAGTATCCCTTCATTATCTTTTTGATGTTTTGAATTGTCTGTAGTAATATGTCATGTTTTATTTCTACCATTGATAATATTTTAATCATATAATAGATAAATGAGCAAAACTTAGAGCATTTGTCATTATCTTTTGCAAAAAAAGATCTTTTTTAGTATTCACAGATTTTATAATGAAAAAATGTTTCTCGGGATAAAAATTTTCATCATGTCATAAAAATGAGTTGTATCAGACATAACAGAATAACCTGTGTGTGTGTGTGTGTGTGTGTGTGTGTGTGTGTATAGAAATAACAGAATAATAGATATAACGTTAACTGTAAATGAAGTTTATTCAGGTTCATAAATTCAAGTTTATAAATGGCAAATTCAAAGCCCCAGTGGGTGAAAATCTTTGAATGTTCCCTGCCTAGAGGCTGGGAAGCTTTCAGATTCTTCTGGACCCTGTGCCTGACAAATGCCTGGCAAGAGACACCAATAACTCAGTTCTAGTCAGATGGTGAGTGGCTGTGTGGAGGCCATGAGGCTGACAGGGCCCCCAGCGCTTGGGACCCTTTCTGCAGGAGTTCCCTCTAACCAGGGGTTCCTTCGGGTAGGCTACTGAGTTACTGCAGTGATTGGCGGTGGGGATTTTGACCAGGCAAGTAAGGTTTGTTCTAAATAATATTTTTAAAACCTAAGGAAAATATAAAATGCAGCTTTATATTTGAAATAAAAACATAAAGACTCTGAGAGGAAGTTTACATGTTGGAATATCACAATAGCAATGCCCTTAATTTTTTTGTTAGCAGTTCTATGAAATCACCATAAAATGTCAAGATGCAAGATTTAAAAATAAGATAGTGAAGAAAACCTCCTGTGTGCTAATATAAGGATTTTCTATTTGTGTATGTGAAGTTATTTTTAAAGTCCTCACTACCTTTCCCCACATCCTTACAGCCCCAGTAAAGGCAGTGATTAAAGCTCACTTGGTTTGGGACCCCACCACACACCGTTTTTTTCATGATGGATCACGTTGTTCATTGCAGGCATGGCTGGCACTGTTCACTTCCTCTCCGACATCCTGGCCCCAGAGGCATCACGGTTTCCAGCATTTGAACTCAGCTCTTCACAGAGGGATACAAAGGTTCAAAAAGACTACTAAGAAAGCTGACTGGACCAGAAGCCACCAGGTTGCTTAGCCCCTGACAGAACCAACTGGGATTCCTGAAAGCGGGAGAAGCAGCAGCAGGCCTCGTCCTAGACGCCCGTGTCGGAGTGTGATGGCCGGCCGCCCCAGCAGCATCGTGCGACCGTGCCCCTCGCTGGCGCACAGTGTGAACCCTCCACGTCCAGTTCTCCGTCGTGTGTGCATGTCTCCTGGTGTTTGCCGTCTGTAGGTGTAGGTTGTTGTAAACAGAAGCCCTTCCCTGTCCTTGAGCCCGAGCTGGCTGTGCATGAGGGCGCACGGCACCCACTTCTCTGTACATACTGTTTAAAGTGAGGCGTTTTCTGTATTGGCAAACAAGGAAATAGGCAGGTGGTGTCTCTTACATAACAGAATTCTCCACAGTGATGTCCCGGTGGTAAAACTTTGCAGCATTTTCTGTGTGTGCCTTGCGGATGAGCGTGAGAGAAAGACCACTCCAAAATGAAAACAATAAAGCAGCGTTGCTGAAGTAGGGGGTGGAGAGCCTGTCCACAGAGTCGAATGTCCCCTCTTTGTGTGCTGTGCCCCCAGTGTTTATAAGAAGGAGAGGGGGCGCGTTCCAGCATTGTCCCCTGCTGGGACTCCCTTCCTCAGGCTTGCTGTGTGACGTTCTAGCCCCTCCTCACAACCCATGGCAGCCTGGGCCCCGAGGAGCAGACCCGTGACACCAGGGCCATTCGGGGGAGCCTTTTCATGGCCACATTGTAAATCTAGTAGCAGTGACTGAGGGCTGCAAGTCTCGGTTCAGTGTATGTTATTAAAACAGACTGCACCGCAGTTTCATCAGCATTATGACGTAGTGCTGTAAGTTCAGTGGATACAATCCCAGATACGTTATTCCCATGTTCCTCCACTTAAACTTTTTTCACAACTTGGTAAGTTATCAAAGTACAAATTTGGGATGAATATAGTCTTTATTTTTGTCTGTTATTCAGGTGATAGAAATCTCACATTTGATGAAATGTATTAAGCATAAAGTACTAGTCTGTATCTATGCATATCGGAAACAGTTCTAACCAAGAAAATTACACTGTCTGTCTGACGTTTTTGTTTTAAAACTGGGCATTAACTTGGATTAGCATACCCTCAATAATTTGACCATGTAGATCTGTCTTTAGAAGAGCTTTGTTGTCATGGTATGAATGGTCTGAGACTTTCTACAGACTTCTTACTTATGGGCTAAGGCCTGATCATAGAAGACAAGGTAGATCTCTGATGATCTGGTCCTTGTCTACAAGGGGTTGTCAAATGTTTATCAGCCCTGGTTTCCACTCCTTTCATAAAGGAGGAAGAAGAATGTCCAAGTAGAAGACAGGTTCCTTTGCACATGTGCAGTTCTTGGGATGCCAAGCCTTGTTTGTGGGGCTAACACCCTAACATGTGCCCTTTCATTTCTAAATGATGCCTCATGCATCTCTTCATTTTCTGACACTCACTTCTGTGTCATAACTGTTTTTTTAAGTTAGTTTGATGACTTCCATAGGTATAAATCCTCATGATTGTATATTCTAACCACTTCCTGGGTCTCCTCATGTGCTTCCTAGGCAGCCCAGTTCCCCAGGACCCACAGGTGGGACTGGAGTGGGTTGGGCTATTGTCAGAAAAGCTCATTTGATGTCAGCCCACATACACCATTCCCACCTCAGCCAGACCTCAGTGGCAGCCCTCCAGGCCTCAGCATGGAGTTATATCCAGGCTGGCTTATTTCCCAAGGGAGGCCAGAGTAGCTGCACGGGAATCACCCCACTCGGCAAGAGGAAGCAGCTCGTGGAAACCCTGGTTCTGGCCACGTCTCCTGACCAGAAGCAGTGAGGGTGACGCTTGTTACCTGGGCATCTTGCCTTGTGTGTTCAACTTGCTTCTGCCTAACACACTGAGGAAAGAGAGAGCACTTGTAAGATGAATGGAGGATCTGTTATTTACAGGGCTTGTTTAGAAGCCTGTTTACCTGCTAGATGTGTTAACACAGCTCAGTCTGTGACTCCTAGTGGTGACACAGGCTCCATCCAGTTCCCCGAAGGAAAAAGACACCCACAGCTGATGTAGTGGTTCTGATAGTGTGTGAATTTGGATTTCAGAGCATTTCAGTGATTTCTCAGATTTGTTTGTTTTCTCCAAAATGTGTCTAAGCTTTTAAAATAATGTGTATGCACAATTCCATTTCAAAATTTGAAAGAGAAAAGGTTGATGTCCACAAAAAGTGTGTGGGGTGCTCTAGTTCAGTTCTTAGTAAACACAGTTCTGTTGTGACACTTGTGGGGTCGTCTGTTCTCACCTCTCTGCCTTCAGGAGCGATGGTTGGGAGCCTTGGTCACCATTGTGAAGGCTGCCTTCCCCATAGAATATGTGGCGACTGCTTGTGTTGTGATGTCCCAGATAGTTCACTAGATTGAGAGCTTTCTTTTTTTACTCCAAGGCCCTCCAGAATCTGGGTGAATCTAAGAGAAGCCTGTCTTTTTTTTTTTTTTTTCCATTTATTTTTACTAGTTGGAGGCTAATTACTTTACATCATTACAGTGGTTTTTGTCATACATTGAAATGAATTAGCCATGGATTTACATGTATTCCCCATCCCAGTCCCCCCTCCCACCTCCCTCTCCNTTTACATGTATTCCCCATCCCAGTCCCCCCTCCCACCTCCCTCTCCACCCGATCCCTCTGGGTCTTCCCAGTGCACCAGGCCCAAGCACTTGTCTCATGCACCCAACCTGGGCTGGTGATCTGTTTCACCCTAGATAATATACATGTTTCAATGCTGGAGAAGCCTGTCTTGAGCTTGCATGTGTATCAGGCCTTTGCATTCACAGTTGCCCCAAACAGTCAACAGCGTGTCAGGATCACGGCATGGCTAGGCAGGTTATGGCATGGCTGGGGGGCCACTGCATGCCTGGGGGTGGGCACTGCACTCATGACTGTTTCCCAGTGAGGACGCTGATGGCCTGCCCATGGTCACAGCTGGGATGAGGGGTAGTTCTTGCCCGTGGCCAAACCTGTGACTTGTACTCAGCACTTTCTCTCCTATGTGCCCAGTACAGAAGATGAGAAAGTGAAGCCTTAGAGAAGCCCTGTTATATCCGCCCCCCCCCCCTGCTTTTTGGGCCCCTTGAACCATTCGGAGCAGTCCCAAACAATTCTTAACTTTGTGAGGCAGTCTTACAGCTGTTATTTCATTTGCTAAATTCACAAAAGCAGTACTCAGGTGTGAAGTCCAGGTTCCCTAAACGTTTTTGTAAACTCTCTTTACTCCTTCCCTGTCTCTTTGCTGAAGCTTAAAAGGGGCCCTTCCAAGTCTGAATTTTTTACACATCACGTCTGGAGGAGAGCCAGGTGTCATTTCCAGCACAACTGTCACCGCGATGCCTGTCACCCTTCTGTCGGACTGGCCACTGGCCCTGGCAGGCTGTGCTGCATCATTGCTTTTCCTGATCAGAGGAAGATGGCAGGCTCCTTCACAGCCTCTGCTCCATGGACTTAGGCCACTGGATCACTGGGGCTATAAAGATGTCCAGCCTGCATCGCAAGTGCCCCTGCACCCCCTTCCTTCTCCCACTTGGAGGTGGGAGGCTCAGTTCCTCCCAGCGAACGTTTGTTCCCACGTGCGGCATGCCAGGCCTCACGCTCAGTGCTGACAGTGAGGCGCTAACCCGCCTCCTGCAGCTCACAGCCTCCGTTGAACACCTGCGGGAAGTGAGCAGGCTGGAGCTCAGGCTCAGGTCTAGCCTCCTTTGGCAGGACCTCGGACAGCTCCTCGGCGTGTGGGCGGGGCTTGTGGCCTGCGTGCACTTCCTGGTCCCAGCAGGAGGGGACCACAGGTAAGCTGACCAGGTCAGCCTTGCAGTGAGATGCCTCTGGCGTGAGGTTATGCTGGTCCTTGTCATCCGGTAGCCTGTGGAATGGAAGTCGAGAGCAGAGACTATGGAACCTGGATGTGTGGAATCTGGGCTCTGCTACTTGTATGAATTTGGACAAGGAATTTCCTCCTGAGCTTTTCTATGTAATCAGGACAACCTTATTTGGTTAGTGGGAGAATTAGAATGAAATAACAAATGGAGGAAACACCTAACAGGTGAAAGTGCTCTATGATGGGGTAGACGAAGGGGTGGGTGTGGTGCTTTTGTGGAGAAACGGGTTCACTCTCCTGAGTAAAAATGAAAATCCCAGATCTGTCCAGCTCCAAAATCCCAAGCCTATCCTCAGTCCCTTTCGGCCAGCTGTTTGTTTACACTGTGTTTGGGCACCGCTGCGCCAAGGTCCTTCAAGGGGAAGCGTTGCCTCGGGGGCAAGGAGGAACCAAACCACAATTTCAGGCTTACACCCCACCTAAAAGTTCAGAGGCTGGGTTTTCTGTTTCTCTGGCCTGTTCTTTGTTTAAAGGCCCTGGAGATCTTCCCACTTTTGTACCAGGTAGACTCCTGTGGCTTTCATGGGATCATCCAACAGATGCAGTCCTGGTCATGTGTTAACAGGGACCCTACTGCATTCCTTAAAGTATCGTTCATGAGAATAAAACAGGTACCAAAGTGGCATAATCATAAATCTACCCATAATCATGTAAATAACCCCCACAGTCCCAAGAACTGAGGGGCCTGTTTTTCAAGCCATTTCCTTAGGCCATGGGGAAGTTATCAAGTGCTTTATGCTAGGCTGCAGGACACTGAAAGGGAGGGTTGTGAACAAGGACAGACTTGCTCCCAGAGTCTCTCCAGAAACAAGGAGGACCACACTCCCTACAGCTGAACAGAAAGTTCTGAGACCTTTTCTGCCTGAAGGATGCCATTGTTCTGACACTTAAATCATAGATTGCTTCGAGAATTCTGCACTGGAAGTCACTTTCCTCCTGAAATTTCAAGGTATCATACTGACTTCTAGCTTGAAATGTTAGCTCTGAGAACCTCAAAGTCATAGTTATTCTTGTTTCTTTGTGTTCAATCTTGTGTTTTGATGTGATTACTTTGCAAGTTGTAGAATTTTTCTCTCTGTCATGATAATGAGCTTAGTTCTGGGTACTTGGTAGGCCCTTCCAATCTAGAAACTCTGTGTTTCAATTCTAAGAAATTTTCTTGAATACTTTCTTTTTAAAAAAAACTTTTTTTTTTTTTGCTTTTTCTCCTCTGCATTTTTGCTTTCTTCTCTAAGAGATTGCAACTTTATTTTCAAAGACTTCTATTGTGTCTTTATTTCCAGGTGTTTTTCTTGTCCTTAGGATATTTTTTATGTATGTCTTCTTATTTCTTATTGCAGTATCTTATCTCTTTGAGGATGTTAATTTATTCAGCACATAGTCATTATGTGCTTATTCAGTGCCATACATTTTTCTAGGCACTTGGAATCCATGAATGATCAACACAGTCAAAAAAACCTCATCTTGTGGACTTTGTGGTATAGCAGAGAGACAATAAGTCTAGATAAAGCAATTTTTCTCCTATGTTGTAAGATATTAAGTAATAATAAGATATAATAAAGCAAGAGACTGACATGCTGGAGAGAACACACATTACTGTTTCAAGCAGGGTGGTCAGAATGAGATTAGAGACAGTGACAGGTGAGCCAAGACTTGAAGTTCATGGAGTTGGCCGGACGAGTGTCTGGAAAGAGCACCAGGCAGACGGTGCGCCCTGCTCACCAGCAGAGACGGGACAGTGGGCAGGGAAGGCCACTCTAAAGATTCGACTTTTACTCTGGGCGAAGCACAGCGTCACTTGAGGGTTTGCGCAAAGGAAGGATGTTATTTAATTTATGTCTTGAAGTAGTCACACTGAGAAAAGGCTGGGAGGATGCAGGGAAACCAAGGGCTGGTCCGGGAGAGAAACCATGTGGCTTGGCGAGAATGGTGGGACTCTCAGTTCAGTTGCTCAGTCCTGTCCGACTCTTTGCAACCCTGTGGACTGCAGCAAGCCAGGCCTCCCTGTCCATCACCAACTCCTGGAGTTTACTCAAGCTCATGTCTATCAAGTCAGTAATGCCATCCAGCCATCTCATCCTCTGTCCTCCCCTTCTCCTCCTGCCCTCAATCCCTCCCAGCATCAGGGTCTTTTCAATTGGGTCAGCTCTTCGCATCATGTGGCCAAAGTATTGGGAGTTTCAGCTTCAACATCAGTCCTTCCAATGAACACCCAGGACTAATTTCCTTTAGGATTGACTGGTTGGATCTTGTAGTCCAAGGGACTCTCAGGAGTCTTCTCCAACACCATAGTTCAAAAGCATCAATTCTTCAGCGCTCAACTTTCTTTATAGTCCAACTCTCACATCCATACATGACTACTGGAAAAACTGTAGTCATGACAGCTAGACTAGATGGACCTTTGTTGGCAAAGTAACATCGCTGCTTTTTAATATGCTGTCTAGGTTGGTCATAACTTTCCTCCCAAGGAGTAAGCATCTTTTAATTTCATGGCTACAGTCACCATCTGCAGTGATTTTGGAGCCCAAGAAAATAAAGTCAGCCACTGTTTCCCCATCTATTTGCCATGAAGTGATAGGACCGGATGCCATGATCTTAGTTTTCTGAATTTTGAGCGTTAAGCCAACTTTTTCACTCTCTTTCACTTTCACCAAGAGGCTCTTTAGTTCTTCTTTGCTTTCTGCCCTAAGGGTGGTATCATCTGCATATCTGAGGTTATTGACATTTCTCCTGGCAATCTTGATTCCAGCTTGTGCTTCATCCAGCATGGCATTTCTCAATATAAGTTAAATAAGTAGGGTGACAATATACAGCCTTGACTTACTCCTTTTCCTATTTGGAACCAGTCTGTTGTTCCATGTCCAGTTCTAACTGTTGCTTGTGACCTGCATACAGGTTTCTCAAGAGGCAGGTCAGGTGGTCTGGTATTCCCATCTCTCAGAACTTTCCAGTTTATTGTGATCCACACAGTCAAAGGCTTTGTCATAGTCAATAAAGCAGAAATAGATGTTTTCCTGGAACTCCCTTGCTTTTTTGATGATCCAACGGATGTTGGCAATTTGATCTCTGGTTCCTCTGCCTTTTCTAAAAGCAGCTTGAACATCTGAAAATTCACAGTTCACAAATTGCTGAAGCCTGGCTTGGAGAATTTTGAGCATCACTACTAGCATGTGAGATGAGTGCAATTGTGCCATAGTTTGAGCATTCTTTGGCATTGCCTTTCTTTGGGATTGGAATGAAAACTGACCTTTTCCAGTCCTGTGGCCACTGCTGAGTTTTCCAAAGTGCTGGCATATTGAGTGCAGCACTTTCACAGCATCATCTTTTAGGATTTGAAATAGCTCAAGTGGA